TAGTAGTAGTAGTAGTAGTAGTAGTAGTAGTAGTAGTAGTAGTAGTAGTAGTATCGTTATTATTATAAACACACTTACACACCTACCTACCTTTTTACTTACCTACCTATGCTTGCACACCAATGAACATAATATATGCATCAAAAGGTCATGGCCTTCTCCACGTGCTGATGAGCAAGGAGGCGGAGTCTACGTCGGAGGGCGGAGCTAACCAGTGGGAGGAGCTACTCAGGAATCCGGATTACGCCAAAGATGTTGTGAAGCTGAGGGTCTCACATTTTGGCAGGTGCGTTGAGAGCATTCTCGGTTGTTATTGTTTTCTTTATTGGATGAATAAAGAAGACATGAAACATGTTAACAAGTTGATTTCTTTTTGTTCTGTTGTATCAAGACAATTCTATTTGTTCATAATTTAGTCTCTTTTGAAGAGGTGTTTTATACTTAAAAGTAGTCAAAAATATTTCTTGACTCATATTCATCGACCAAGTTCCTGACTTCAATTTTGTGATCAGCAAAGTCTTCGCTTAGAAAAAAAAGGGTCTTTTACTTTATACCGATGTTTGGTTCTTGTGCGTGTTGATTAAGTTACATGTATTAAGTCAATGGTTTCAATGAAGAGCGTCCCAGTGTGGTTTTCTTCTTAGCTTTTTATAGTATTATCATAGTCTGAATCGATTATTAGTGAAATATGGTTCTGCTGTGCTCATTTTTGTCCTTGGTTTTAGTTTTCTTTTTAAAAAAATCTAATTTGATCTAATTAATTACGACACGTCAAAATATCATAATATTTGTCTACCTGATGTTTCCGGGTTGGTTGCGGCATAGCTAGTACAGTACCAAACTTCGGTGTTGCACATTTGTTTATTTTTGTTTTAGTAAGCGTTTTACGGCATTTGCAACAAATTAAGATAATGTGATTGCCGAAGAGTAGAGGTGTTACAAGAAAGAAACAATGTTTTTTAAAGGAGAAGAAGTACCGTAAGGAAGATAGATGTTTGACAGGAAAGAAGGAGCAGACCACTTCAGAGCACCCGCCAACCACCCGGACTGTGTTGTACATGCGTTTGTTCTCAATTATATCGACAACAGGAAAGGGTACTAGCAGACTAAAGATTGTGAATGATTCCAAATGTTTTACGTCCCCAACGGCATAATCTAGCTCATTTTGTGGATAAAGCAGGCTGCTTCGACCCAACCCCGTCAAATTGAGACACAACATCCCAGCAAACAAAATGCGTCATTCAATAAGGAGAAACTGCAAATCTTCCCCACCGGGGAATCGAACTAACATCTTTTTGAGTGCGATGGTGAAGAGCTCGGATGTTACTAGACCAATGTAGTTGTAAGTGTTTTACGGCGCTTGCAACATAATTAGGTCATATAAGTGCCAAAGATTAGAGGTGTTACAAGAGAGTAATAAACACAAAAAAGAAAGAGAGGAGATAAAGATGTTCGTTAGGGGAAAAAAAGAGCAAACCACACAGAGCACCTGCCAACCACCCGCACTAAACGAAAGAAGCCAATGCAATGGATCAAATGACAGCGGAGAATACCACGTTCGAGTAATGTCAATGTATTTTTTCAAAATCCAAACGTCTTCGTTGTACCCGGGGTTCATTCTATATTTCTCTCTTTCAACGAACAGGTTGTGTTTGCTGGAAACCAACCCCCAGTACCATGTCCGGGAGATGATCAACTCTAGTCAGGCTGCGATCCAGATGGTGACCTCTCTATACAGCAAGACAAGTCGGCGGGAATACAGGTGAGATCAGTCATATTATTAGTATTAGTCACTGGACAAGAGGTGATCCTGTTCTAAAGAGTTTCTCAGCCGAGCCGGAGGTTAAGTCAATGTTATCTATATCTATATTATTAGTCTGCCTGCTTCCCGGTTTTGAACGTAACGCTCATCTC